GTAGACTGAGGCAGGGGTGCAGGGAGGGGGGCGTGTGCACCAGGGGCCCACTCACCAGTCAGAGGAGGCAGGAGTCCATTCATTCGTATACACAGGAGGGCCAACTGGGCTTGCTCCACAGGCTTAGTGACCAGATGGACACACTACTCTTGACTGCAGTAACTCAGATATAGGGGAAAAAAACTTGCTAATATTTTCCTTTGCCTTCTTTTTATATTCTATTTTATAATACTCTATTGACTTTCTCTTTGTAAGCTGCCTGAAATACATTTTGGAACAAAGTGAATATAAAGTGAGTAGGGGGAAAAAAGAGGAAAGACATTATAGTCTTATTTTTTAAGAGAAAATCACATGAATCTGGATTAGGTAATAATAAATGAACTCAAAATTTATTAAGTATTGTCATAACAACAATGTGCTCTCTTCTGCTTTTAAGATGAGGAAGATGAAGGCTCAGAGAGGTTAACTGACTTGCCTAAGGTCACACAACAAATAATCTGGATTGGAACTCAGTTCAACACAAAGTCTATACTTTTAACCCAGTCCCCCTAAAGTAGAGCAAACTCCTTCACCTCTTTGAGCCTCAGTTTGTGTTCTGGTTATCTACTGGCAGAGAACAAATCAGTCCAAAACTTGGTACCTTAAAAGGATGACAATCACTGATTACTGACTGGGGTCAGCTAGGCAGTTCTTACTTGGGTTCTCAGGTCAGTGGCTGGGCGGGACTCATCTTGAAGGCTTCCTCACTCCTGTCTGACAGCGGCTGCCGCTGTCAGCTGGCACATGGGGCTGTCAGGCCTTGCCATGTGCTCTGGGCTTCTTCATAGCATGGTAGCTGGGTCTTAAGACACTGAAGTGGAAACTGCTGGTTCTTGAGAACTGTGAGACTGGCACAGCATCACCATCACCGTATTCTGCTGATCAAACAGCCAGAGTCCAGATAAAGGGGAGAGGGTATAGACACCAGCTGTCAACAGGGCCAAGTTTTAGAACCTTCACATCTATAAAATCTACAAAATGGGCACAACTATATGATGAAGACCTGTTGTTTTTGTCAGCCCAAACCTCCCTTCTTCTAGCAACAGAACTCCTGTCTTCCTTCTGGAGATTCTCCCCTCCCCCTCCACACTCAGGCCCTGTGGCCATGCTCTGCCACCACTGAGGACCTGTCTGAGAACAAGGCCCACGGAGGAAGCAAAGCTGAGGAATAGGGAAGAAGATGCCTGATGACTCCTGAACCCCTGGGTCCCACTGGGTCTGAAGGATTATCCCTGGACCTTTAAATATGCGAAACAATACACTTCCTCCTGCTTAAGCACATACGAGTTCAGTTTCTACAACTTGTAACCAAAAGTTTGTATTACATACACCTAAAAAGGTGGTTGCAGAGATTAACTAAATATACAATGTGCCTTTTACACAGCAGATATTCAGGAAGTGGTTTACTGTTATGTGGCCACAGCTGTAAGGATTTATATTTGCCCAAAGTTTAATCAGTGGCCCAACTGGAATTCAAGCCCAGGATGCCTGATCAGAATCTTTTGCCTGCTCTACCTTCTATATTTCTGTGTTCTCACCAGATGGTGAGAAGTGTAAAGTATCTACTGTAAAGTAGATAACGTCCTGATGGGACAAAAGATGACCTGGCCAGTGTTGGTTAATACTGGACACTCATATACCCACATTTTCAACTCCTCACCTATAAAAAAAATGATCAAATTACCATGTTACTATTTCTTTAAGAGTCTAAAAACTATTAAAAACTCCAAATCCTCAAACAGCACTCCAGCAGCTGCTACTAAACATTCTGAATGGCAAATGAAATAAGGTCTGAGAGGGATTAAAAACAAACCGTGGCCCTGTTCAGAAGCTCCTCAAATTAAGAGTTCGGACTTGGCCATGTGACTTGGTTTGGCCAATAGAAGCTGACAAACATGACACAAGCAGGAACTTGAAGAGCACTTGCATCTCGGGGCTTACTTGGTCTTGCCTGCTAGATGCTGGGAACATATGGCCCAGTTGCCCCGCCAACCACTTGACAAGTGGGTGAGGTTTTCTGGGACCCACGGGCCCCTAGCCGATCTGCCAGCTCACTTCAGCCACATCAAAGCCCAGATGAGAGAAGTAGAACTGCCCAGCTGAGCATAGCCCAAATTGCCAAGCCACTCAATCAGAAGCTTATGTTTATTAAAGGTACTAAATTTTGGAGTGGGTTTGTTATACAAGTTAATAACTGATATAAGGCCCATTTACTATCCCTGATCTAGGTCAACCTCTCGTATAGATGAGGAAACAAGAGACCTAGGAAGGAACAAGACTTGCCCAGGGTCACAAACCTTATGGGCAGCAGTACAGGGAGGAAAGCCTTGGCTCACAATCCAGTAAACCCACTGGCTGTAATATTCCTTCAAGACAGCTGCCAGAATCACAAATGAGGCTTCAGATCTTCAAAACACCTAGGGAATATTAGTCCTTTTGGGCAGAATGTGGGATCACATTTCTTCATCTCCTTTTGGTTTTCAGAAGTTGAACAGATTAACAAAAACTGATGAGCAATGGAATGGGGGAGGTCTTTCCTGCCCCAGACATGGGGAGGATGGGCAGGTCTGTGCAGGGTTTTTGTGGATGTGAATTTCCCACTCAAGCTTTCCCATGGGCTAAGTAGTTCAGGAGCTTTTCTGGGGTGCCAGGATGGGGATTCTCAATCTGTCTAGGATATATCCTGATGGCAGGGTGATTACACAGGGCCTCTGCATAGGGCAGATGCTTCCTACCCTGGAAGGGGTCTTCCATGCTCTTCTGCCTAACATACTACAGAGGCCCACAGCCCCTCCTGTTCTACCTGTCCCCCAAGCACTGAAAAGTGAGTGCCTCGGTCAAGCACTACTGAGTAAGGGCCTTGTAGAGTCTGAAAATGTTATTACAGTGCAATGCGCACAGAGCACTAGGCTCTTGGGACGCAGGAACCCGGTGCCAGCCCTCAGTGTGAAGTCCACCAAGGTCCAAAACCCCTTCTTTGCACTCTGCCCAAGTTCCAGTCCAGGGTGGTGTACCAGGTAGGGACATGAAGACCTGTACACGTACGCAAGTGGGTCGGCTAGAACTGGGCTCTGGCCTTCTGAGCAGCAAGGACAGACTGTGAGTTCAGGGACTAGAGGGGTATGTTCCACTGAGGGCTCTTCGGGAGAGATGGGACACTCCCAGTGGACCTAGCCCCTTCCGCTGGACACCTTCTTTAGCTCTCCAGACTGAGCCTTTTGTTTTGAGTAAGTTCCCAGCGACTGTTTTCCACCCTGGGTCTGAATCTCTCAGAGACTGATGGCCTCAGTCTCTACCCTCTCTCCCTCTGCTGCCCAGGGTCCCTGGCAGGCACACATATGGGGACTGAGATCCCCCTGGGCAGCTAAACCTCCAAAAAGGCAGAAACACTGCTCCACATCACACCAAGAGGCAATGGCCAGCAGGGATGGGGGCATTTGGCCCAGCTGTGGGTCCAGAACTCTGGCTCCCTAATGGGCTGGCTAGTCAGGCCCCTGCACAGCTTGGGAATGTAGAGCTGCACTCGGGCTTCAGACTGCTAGCCGGCAGTCAGGAGGGCTGCCCAGGGAGGGAGCCATGAGACAACAAAGACTTCCCTGGGTGATTCCATACTCAGGGTAACCTAGCCTCAGCACTGTCTCAAGCCCAGCCTCTATCCTCCACCAAAACCTGGAGCCAAAGCCCAGTGGAGGTTTGATGGAGGCTATGCTGGAGAACTGCTAGTGTGAACTGGGATTTTCAGTAAGGATTCTAGTAGGCCTGGGACCCTGAGGAACACGTAAAGATGGAGGGAGAGCCCAAACCCCTTTGTGATGATGGGACCGAATTTCCTGTCTTGGGGAAGGCTGCCTAGGAGAGAATGAACAATTTCTGAAAAGCAGTAAGCTGATACTTCTCAGAGCTGCCAACACTAGAACAGCAGCTTAAGGGTGAGTGGGTATTTCTCAGGTGGAGAAAGTAGGAGCAAGAAGAGTACGTGCTACATTTTGGAACAAAGCCCCACACCAGAGAGACCAGCCCAGGTGGCCACACATTTATCACCCAGTTCACAGGACCGGGGAAGGTACTTTTAACCTATGAGTGACTCAAAAAGATCCGCTGTGGCAGGTGATTTCTCCTGGGAATCTGAACACAGGGAAATCGCTCAACTTGTGGGGTGAAGTTAAGACAGAAGTGGAAATTTGAAAGAACGTCGCCAGTTGTCAGAGAACAGAGCAAACACCTAGAGAGGTGGCCCAAGACAGGTAGAGGGAGGCACAGATATTCTAATGCCAACCTCCTACTGCCTGAGGTCAAATGGACTGGAGCTCCATTCCTTGCCGCCTAGGAGAGTGAAGGACCTGTTTTGAGTGGGCCAGGAAAGAGAGGTGGTAACAAGGGAGAGAGGCCAGGGCATATAGGATCGTGTACAGGAGTTGGGGTTTTGTCCTGATGGTGAGCAGTCAGGTAAGGGTTTTACAGGGAAGAGACATGACTCAGATAAAGCACTGTGGTGTCTAGTGGGAAATGGGGCAGGGAGACGCTAGACACTGTGAGGCTGGTGAGAGGATAAAGCCCGAGTGAAAAAAACACAGTGTCCCAAACTAGGACAGGGAAGGAGAAGAGGTGGATTCTAGAATCATCTCAGAGCTGGGAAAAACGAGACTGAGTGAGAAGCTAAGACCTGGACCTACCACTGTCTAACCAAAGTGGGTCACAACTGCTTGACACTTTAGCCACCGAAGTAGTCTCTTGGGGACCTGGATATGTGACCCTCCCCAACAACCCTATTGGCCATTTTTATCCCCATTTTAGCTGTGGAAGCCGAGACAGACCAGTGTTATGCACCCTGGACAATGCTCCCTGGCTGGAAAGTGCAAGGGAGGAAAAAGAATGGAGTGAAACAGACCAGACCAGACTCTGGCTCAGCAGGAGGGCCCGGGGACCCTGAGAAAACACAAACCATCCCATCTCAGAGCAAGTTGGGATCCAATCTCTTTATTGTCAGGGTACCCTCCCTGGGACCCTCCCCTCTCCAAACCTATAGAAAAACCCCAAGCCTGGGAGTGTCCTGGGAGGGGAGGTAGAGTGTGGGGAAACCTCTGTGCGCTGCCCTCTGGCCTGGGTGGTGCCAACAGGGAGGGCGTGAGGGGAAGGGTGGCCAATAACTCCACCTGCAGAGGATGCAGCACTGGCTGGGATGTGTGCGGGAGGAGATGCCTGCGGCCGGCTCTCCTGGGACCCGCTGGGGGTAGTCTCCAGGGGCGGGTGCCCAGCTTTAGGCCTGGTACAGTGCACGCCCTTCTCCTGCCGGTGGCCATCGTTCCTGTCAGGCTGAGAAAGAGAGAGACAAAGGAAAGACTGAGGCTGAGAGCAAGAGCCCCTGGTACTCTTGATAACTTGGGTTGGGAAGACAAAGGGGAGAAAGGTGTTTGCCATTTGCAGACAGACACAGGCCTGCACTCTGGCTCTGGCCTTCTAATTTTCTGGCCACGCAACCTCTGGTGAGTCTCTCCCTCTCCCCCTAAGCCTCCCATTTCCTCACCTGCAAACTGGCTTCACAAGGTCAAACTTAGCCTCCTTGGTAAAACCAACCAGGAAGCTCCCAGAGGAGACCGACTACAGATCTAGAATTTCCTAAACTGTCTGGGAAGATCTTGCTGGTAGAACAGCTCACAGCATGGATGTGTCTTATGTAAAGACACGTGTGCTGTTTTGAGGCCTTCCTCCACCCAAGCCTGTCTTACCCTGAACATGGCCCCAAAGGAATGGGGCAGAGCAGGGTGGTGAACACTGGGTTGTGAGGCCACACACCACCGGACTCAAACCTAGGCTCCACCAATTACCACCTTGGGACTGGTGAGATACATGCTACCACCCTGCTCCCCCCCACCCCCCCGTGCCTCAGTTCCCCCATCCGCTAGGCTGGCACCATCACAACCTGGCAGGGCTGGGACAGTTTCCTCCGGGCAGGATCAAGTTCCAGCCCCTAAGCCCGGCACAACCGTCCCTCGCTGATGATGAACTCTCCCTGCCCACGCAGGGCTGCGACTACCGCTACTGGAGGCTCCTAGTCATCTCCCATATACCGACGCCCATCAGAGCCCCCTGTGCTGAGCTAAAGCTGTTCCCTCAGATGCCTCTCCCTCAACCCTCCACAGGCTCAACTACGTATTACCGGCTCTTCCACCACACCCCTCTCTGACCACCCGGCTCTCCAGCCCATCATCAGGCTCACACTGGTCATGGTTTGTGCCTTCTTCCATCAGACTCAGAGCTCCTCAAGGGTGGAGGAGATGGGCAACATGGCTCGGAGTGCGCCGAGGGAATCCCTGCAGGGCTGGCCTGGCTAGCCCATCCACGGCTCCTGCTCCCACAGCCTACCAAGCTCTCACCACAAAGGAGCACAGTAGAATGGCTGAGGATGGGGGAGCCTTCCTCGCTGGGCATAGCACGAACCTGCCAGGTCTGCTTCACTTCACCCCGTCCACCTGGACCCCCGTACCTGCTTACTGCAAGGCCCCATCCTCCACGTCTGTGTCCTGGCTGTGCTCCTGATAGGGAGGAGGCAACGAGAAACCACACATCACTCACTACCAACTCTGAGTCATCCCTGCGGCCCAGAGCACATCCGGAGACCAAACTCCAACAGAGGGATAGACAGCCAAGGGGAATGGTTATGGGAACAGTCTCAACACAGCTGGCTTGGAATCCTGACAGGATGATCTGGGGGCCCTCCAGAAGAGAGAAGGGACCAGTCGAGGATGTTCTAGGTCTGGCAGGGGACACATTTCTGCATAGAAAGACCTTCTCAGACTGTAGCAGGCTGAAAGCCTAGTAGGCTGGTGAGCTCCCCATCTTTGGGGCATGGTTAGGGTCTTTATGGAGACTACTATGCCTAAGAAAGTAATTGGGTCAAAAAAAGAGAGAGGAGCTGGGGGCATGAGGAGGAGGACCTCATAAGTATGGTGGCCATGGGCCCATCTGTCCTTGGGCCAGAACCCCAGCTTTGATGAAAAGGAGAAAGTTCCAAACCTGGTGAAGAAGTCTGGGCTCTAATTCTGGCTCAGCCCCTATCAGTTATAAGGCCCTGAGCAAGTTACTCTACTCCTCTGAGCCACCGTTTCCTCACTGGGTAAAAGTCGGGAAGAGTAATACTTTGCACAGTGCAAGGCTGTTGTTAAGGTTAAATGAAGTTAGAAACTACAGGGCCTGGTGCTCACTGAGTGCCTGTTAGGTAAATGGATAAGCACACAACAGTTACCTTACATACTCAAGAGTGTGGTCTACCTTCCTACTCAATATTAAGCTCCTTGCCAATGGCTTCCCACTGGCACTCTGAAGAGTTCCAGTAACAGAGAACTCCCTCCATGCCTCCCTCATGAGACAGGCTCTTGCGCACTTCGGCAGTAATGGCTTTTAGAAAGTCCTTGGGTAGGGTGGATACCCAACCTCCCTGTGGCTTCCCCAGGCAATCCCAGTCCTGCCCCCTGGAACTCTGCAGACCGCGTGTGCTCCCCTGAGCCCCTGACTCTTCTCTCCTCCAACCCACGTGGAAACCGAATCTAGAGTGGGCCCTGGACTAAAGAGAGGTCTACCTCGGTCCTCAGTGGGACTTCGGACTGGCAGCTGAAATAGGCATTCCCGTGCTCTTCCGAAAGAGGAAGGAGGGAGCTCACAGGGCCACCAGCCAGCTCAGAGGCTCCCCCTCCCCTGCTGCCCTCCTGCAAGCCCCTCCCCTGCTGGGCCCTCACCAGCTCTTCCTCACTGTGTGTCAGCAGCCCCTCCTCATCGCCGTCGTCCCGAGCCTGTGCTGCTCCCTGGGGCGTGCCTGCCTCAGAAGCCGTGTCCTCCTGGGGGGCTGGCGGCCGGCTGCTGCCACCACTACTGCCCCCACCACTGCCACTGCTGCTGTCGCCCTTCTTCTTGCCATCTTGAGGGGAAAGGAGTGGGAAGAAGGGAATAAAGAAGGCTGCCCAGGGCAGTTACCGCAGCAGAAGCTAAGCCCCTCTCTGCCTTGCGCACTGTCCTCCCCACACTCTGCCCTGTGCCCCTGCTCACTGAGCTGGGCGAGGACCCCTGGAAGCTGACCTGGGTTGGCCTTCTGCTCCTCGGCAATCTGCTCCAAGCGGCCCAGCAGAGCGTCGATGTTGGACTTGATCTGTGTCAGCTCTGTCTTGATGGCCTGCAGCTCACTGCTCTTTACTGGGAGTGAAGGGAGTACAGGGCTGTCAGCCAGGGGCTAGGAGCCTGACACTAACGTAAGACCCTAGCCCCATTCTGTCAACTACAAAGGCAGGCCAGGGGCCGGAACTGTCCTCATCTGCGGTTCTTTGGCCAGGAAAAAGGCTGGAGCTGTCCGTGGCTTCCCCCCAAGACTTCTGAAGCCATGCCTACAGTAACCAGCCCACCTTTCTGAACTTGGGACCTTCTCCCCTGACCGTTCAACTCCTGAAATGCACTGGAGATGGATAAAAATGCAGGTGCGGTGTGCACCTGAGCAAGCGTATGTGTTTCTCCTCATGTTATAGGATGATGCCCTGATTGCAGGTGTATAAACGTGGGTGTTTGACCATCAGATTTCCTGGGTGCCTGACTGCAGCATGTGTACACCAGAGGGCATGTGGAGTAGTGGGCCTGGGCAGCCTTGTCCTTACTACAGGAAAGATGACACCTTCTCCTCCCTGGGTTCCATGTCACAGCACTGGACATTTCTGTGTCCGACCCAAGCCCCTCCTCCTCAAAGGTCAGCCTTTTCCTCTTAGAAATGAATAAAAATACTCACTTGGTAGTGTTAGAGCTGCAGAACTGTGGGAGATTTGCTCCTTCATCTATTTTCCAATGTAGAAATATGTGATTCTGTTAGTTTGCTAATGAAAAAAATAAAAATGATCTAGCAAGATCTAGTCACTCACACTTGATCTTGGCTGAGCCGGCGGGAATGGCCGTGGAGCGGGCAAAGAGCTTGACAGGTATGGTGGTTTTGACGCGCCGGACCAAGGGGACCGTGACCCGGGGTCGCTTCACAGGGACTGCCCTGGGCACTGGCACAGGTGACAGGCGGCCCCGATAGTCGAAGAGCCTGTAGGGGCAAATGGGCCAGAGGCTGCAGCATGGCCTGTGGCCACCAGAGGGCACTGTGACTCTAGACCAACATGTGGCTGGTGGGCAGCCTGTACTACACACCTCTGCCTGCTCCCAACAAGCCCTGGGGGTGAAGAGAAATGGCTTTTCCGACCTTAAAAGCTTCTGGGACTCTCATTCCATCCACCTTTCCCACCAGCCAGGTTGGGTAAGGCAGGTGGTAATGGTTATAGCCCCAGTTCAAGAAAGGAGCAAACGGAGACCAGCCCAAGAAAGAAGCCTTCCCTAGATCTGCAGTATTACCTGACCTGGCTTCTGCTCAGTCAACTGCCACCCCAACCACTGGTCAGTTTGCCAATGTCCCTAAAGCAACGCAAATCGCCAGCTGGGAACAGAAAGATGTGGGAATGGATTGGAATCCCTGTCTGCCTGAGCCTCAGTTTTCCTATCTGCTTCATGATGACGACTACCCCAATTCTGTGCCAACCCCCCACCCCACCCCAAGGCTGCTGTGAGGGCAGAGAATGAAAAAACTTGGTTAAAAACACACGTGTTAAAAGGTGTGATAGGATACTGAGACTCTCAAACCAGGAGCCTAAGATTTCAGGGGCTGGGCCCCCTTTAATCATCCCAGCCCTCTTAGTCCACTTCAGAGATGGAGGGGAAGAGATCAGCAGCGTATCAAGGTTAGGCAGCTCAATCAGAACCCTGGGCTCCCAGTTTATGTACTGGCCCCAATGTCAACACACAGCCCTCTCCAAGAGGGCTTCTTTTCCTGCTCATCAGACAGAAGCTTGTAGGCTGAGTAGGGGTCTCTCACACCCCATCTGCTACTATTACCTTTCCGCAGGGAACAGAACCTTAGGGGTACACTATGGGCTCACTTTGGTGACAGCCATCACTGGGCAGTTCAGTGCCCCATGGCTTGGCACTCCTTTGTTCAGAGAGCCCCTGCCCTGGGCTGGTGATGGCTGGAGATGGAGAGTCTCTGGGAATGGATCCAGTCCCAGACCCTGCATTTCTGCCCCTAAGGGGAGGGGGTGGCTCTGGCCTTGGTCAGAATCACTGAACCACAGAATCCCAGAGCTGGAGGGGCCTTGAGGGATCACTTGGTGCAAGCCCATTTCAGAGACTGGGAGGGGATCTGCCCAAAGTCACACAATCCACTCAGTGGCAGAGCTGGGATTAGCACCCAGGTCTTCGGACTCCCAGGCTAGGGCCCATTCCACTACACCACACTGTCTCCTGAAACCATTCAGAGGTGAGATAACCGAGGCTCAGAGAGGTTCTGTTCCTCCTTCCCACAGGCTGGGGGTGGGGGGTGGGGGTGTTGGAACAGTCCCATCATGATTTCCACTCAAGAATGTGGCTGGTGCCATGGAATGGAGCCCACAGCTCAAGGCTGGGGTCTGATGAAGGGTGGGCCATAGCCTAGCAGGGACTAATTCAGACCTCCAAAGGACCGCTGGCCTCGGCTATAAATGAAAGGCCAAGGGGCTCATACTGAGCTCTGAGGTCCCTTCCACCTGGCTGAGCACCTCCAATAGGAAAGGAGACTGAACAGCAGGAGCGTGAGGGCTCAAACTCCCTGTACCTACTCCTGTAACCTGTTCTGTAATCCAACTTGCTATGTTTATACGTCCCTTGCTGACTAGTCCCGTTGAGTCCCACCCTAGGAGGAGGAAGGGCAGTCAGAGAGCAGGAGACAGTGTGGGTTGGGGGAAGCTCTGACCTGGGCACCTGCAGAACTAGACCCTAGTTCCAGCTCTGCCACCCATCTGTGGAGCAGCCTTGGGCAGATGCCTGTCCACACCTCTGGGCTCTGGTTCCCACTTGGAGGACTGAGTGGGCTGCACCAGCAATCTCTCAGGACCCTTCCAGCTTGGCTGTTTCATGCCTGGGCACGCCCCTCCCCTGCTCACCTGTCGTAGAAGTCGTCCCGGTAGTAATCATAGTCAAAGCTGTAGCCACTGGGGAAACAAAGGGGAGAGGGCCGGGGCTTAGGGACAGCCACTCAGCCCACTCTCCACAGGCCCTCATCTCCAAACGCCTCCCCAGATTCTAGGCTCGGCACACTGTCACCAACCAGTGTTCTCTCCCTCTGTGCAAAGAGGGACCAATCCCACCCAGATGGAGAGAGACAGACAAGACAGAGCGCCCCACCTGTATATGGCAGATGCTGCTCTCTTTAGCCCCTTAGGTCTGTTGGGCTTGGGCTCTCCAGCCATGTTGATATCTGTGTGGAGGGAGGAGGCACAGTCAGACGCTGGTAGCACAGCAGGGTACCCAAACACACATCACCCTCATGCACGTGAGCAGCGACTTCTACCTGCTTACATGAGGTACACATGGACTGTCCTAACTTAACCAACAGAGGTCTCCACACATTAGACTCATACCCACACATCACAGAGACAGGCCTATTTACAAATCCATGTACATTCAGACACCTGCATGCATGTTCACAGACCTATCACTCACACACACATGCCATGGAAATCACATACATGCATTCTCAAGTACTCTCACGTACGTAAATACTTCAAATACGTATCTTCACACACATGTTCATGTATCCAGGTAATCAAGTCACACACAAAAATAACACATATACTCCCAAGTACTTGACGCCGATGTCCAATATACAGAACTGCCCGCATACAGATGAGCCACTGCACATTCAAACAAATGTTCTACCGAACATCTTTATACCTAGAATGATGCTTAGCATATGACAGGATCTCAATTAATATTTTGTAAATAAATATGCATATCTGCTTACACACACTAGCATATTCTGACACACATTTTTCATATATATGTACTAAAGATGTGTCCACATGTTCTCCACATGCTTAGTTACATCCACATTTCACACAGATATCCCTTCTTGAACATACATATACACAGAAGTAGGTGCATTGTACACACTCCAAGGTAGACTGCCACATGGTCACATCATATATATACAGCACCATGGCCAAAGGCACCTGCTTCACCTTGTGCTCCCAGCCCCTCTTCCTGGCTCTCATAAAGAGTTCTAACCTAAACCATCCGTAGCCCAATGTTCTAGGCTATGCTAGTCCACTGTTCCTTTTCTCTTAGGAATCTGCATTTTAACTGGAACCATAAAGCTTGTCATTAAGAGTCACCATGAAAGCAAAGACAAGACAGAAGCAATTTTGAGAAGCTCCTAAAATACTCCCTACAGGCAAATTTTATAACTACTTAATAGTGATTAACATTTAGATAGGGGTGGTGGGTAGTAGCAAGGGAAACAGAAAGGGGCCTAAGAGAGAAGCCAGAAAGTGAAGGCTGGAACCCGCTCAGGAGAGTACGAGGAGCAGGGCCAAGGAGAGACGCTTACCCAGGGTCTGCCCGGCCAGCACCCGCCCATTCTCTCCCAGCACAGCTGCCCGGGCATGGCGCTCATTGGCGTACTGGACAAAGGCATAGCCTTTGTGCACAGAACAGCCGGCCACGCGGCCATACTTGGAGAAGATGGTCTCCACATCCGACTTCTTCACCACAGCTGTGTTGAGGTTTCCAATGAAGACCCGAGAATTGATAGACTTGGGGTCATTCTTGTTGGTTACATTGCTTGTCTGGATCTTCAAGGACATGATGGCCACCTGCAGAGAGAAAGCCACTATGAAGCTGGGTCCCCCAGTTGGGCTCAAGGGCTACCCATGGCCCACATCATGGCTAACCTGGATGGCTTTCTGCCCTGCTATACATACATCTCTACAGCATCCAGCCTCCCCTTTTTATAGCTTACTGGATTGCTGACCTCATGGCCAGGTGCTTTATATATGTTCCCTCATTTGGTACTGACATGACAAGTAGAACCAGGCCATTTCACAAGGGAGAAAATGCACATTCAGAGGTCATGATGTTAGTGAGCGACAGGGCTAAGATTTGAACCCTGGTCTGCTTGAGTCTAATTCTTTTAAACCCATTCCTTCTTTAATGCTTATGTGAAATAAGTTACCCCATGCAGGATCTAAATTTGAAGATCTTCCATCATTTTTCTTCTGTTCCTTTAATGTAGAACCATGGCAAAGAAGTCACATGGAAATTCCCAAGTAATACCTGCTCTACCACATTATGAAAACTGCTCAGTCTGATCCAGACATTGACCTAGCTTTGGCTGTCTTTACTGGTACAATCATTTTTATTTTTTTTATTTTTAAAGATTTTTATTTATTTGACAGAGAGAGCGCATAAGCAGGGGGAGCGGCAGACAGAGGGAGAGGGAGAAGCAGGCTCCCTGCTGAGCAGGGACCCTGATGTGG